AGTCTTCCATAGTAAAGACAAAAAGGGGAACTGGGAGCACACCCAGAACATGCTTTTCTCAGGAATGGTGCCTGAGAAAGACCAACATGTATACATAATACAGAAACAGATGAGCCCATCCTCCCAGCTGAAGATGCTCCTTTTGCAGTGACCACAAGAAAGTATAAATTTGAGGAGGTTTTGAAAAGTAATGCCACTTGCATTACAATTGTCATACAAAAGATATATGAAATGCATTGTGAGAGACACAGAGGAGAGAAGAGAGGAGTAGGGCACAACCAAAGAGAGCAAGGCTCTAACTCCAAACAAACTCAGCCAGCAGACTGGACACCCAAAAGGTAGAAAACAGAAGGGTGGCTAAAGGAAAACTATAAATACATCTCAGCATTGAAATGCAACACTACTCCAGCATGCAAATGTCAACACTACATGTAAACACACCTCTGCATTCAAATGTGAACACTAAATACAGACGCATCTCTGTACTAAAACACAAACATTATATATACAGGGAGTGCAGAATTATTAGGCAAATGAGTATTTTGACCACATCATCCTCTTTATGCATGTTGTCTTACTCCAAGCTGTATAGGCTCGAATTATTAGGCAAATGAGTATTTTGACCACATCATCCTCTTTATGCATGTTGTCTTACTCCAAGCTGTATAGGCTCAATTAAGCATATTAGGTGATGTGCATCTCTGTAATGAGAAGGGGTGTGGTCTAATGACATCAACACCCTATATCAGGTGTGCATAATTATTAGGCAACTTCCTTTCCTTTGGCAAAATGGGTCAAAAGAAGGACTTGACAGGCTCAGAAAAGTAAAAAATAGTGAGATATCTTGCAGAGGGATGCAGCACTCTTAAAATTGCAAAGCTTCTGAAGCGTGATCATCGAACAATCAAGCGTTTCATTCAAAATAGTCAACAGGGTCGCAAGAAGCGTGTGGAAAAACCAAGGCGCAAAATAACTGCCCATGAACTGAGAAAAGTCAAGCGTGCAGCTGCCACGATGCCACTTGCCACCAGTTTGGCCATATTTCAGAGCTGCAACATCACTGGAGTGCCCAAAAGCACAAGGTGTGCAATACTCAGAGACATGGCCAAGGTAAGAAAGGCTGAAAGACGACCACCACTGAACAAGACACACAAGCTGAAACGTCAAGACTGGGCCAAGAAATATCTCAAGACTGATTTTTCTAAGGTTTTATGGACTGATGAAATGAGAGTGAGTCTTGATGGGCCAGATGGATGGGCCCATGGCTGGATTGGTAAAGGGCAGAGAGCTCCAGTCCGACTCAGACGCCAGCAAGGTGGAGGTGGAGTACTGGTTTGGGCTGGTATCATCAAAGATGAGCTTGTGGGGCCTTTTCGGGTTGAGGATGGAGTCAAGCTCAACTCCCAGTCCTACTGCCAGTTCCTGGAAGACACCTTCTTCAAGCAGTGGTACAGGAAGAAGTCTGCATCCTTCAAGAAAAACATGATTTTCATGCAGGACAATGCTCCATCACACGCGTCCAAGTACTCCACAGCGTGGCTGGCAAGAAAGGGTATAAAAAAGAAAATCTAATGACATGGCCTCCTTGTTCACCTGATCTGAACCCCATTGAGAACCTGTGGTCCATCATCAAATGTGAGATTTACAAGGAGGGAAAACAGTACACCTCTCTGAACAGTGTCTGGGAGGCTGTGGTTGCTGCTGCACGCAATGTTGATGGTGAACAGATCAAAACACTGACAGAATCCATGGATGGCAGGCTTTTGAGTGTCCTTGCAAAGAAAGGTGGCTATATTGGTCACTGATTTGTTTTTGTTTTGTTTTTGAATGTCAGAAATGTATATTTGTGAATGTTGAGATGTTATATTGGTTTCACTGGTAATAATAAATAATTGAAATGGGTATATATTTGTTTTTTGTTAAGTTGCCTAATAATTATGCACAGTAATAGTCACCTGCACACACAGATATCCCCCTAACATAGCTAAAACTAAAAACAAACTAAAAACTACTTCCAAAAATATTCAGCTTTGATATTAATGAGTTTTTTGGGTTCATTGAGAACATGGTTGTTGTTCAATAATAAAATTAATCCTCAAAAATACAACTTGCCTAATAATTCTGCACTCCCTGTAAACACACCCATGCATTCAAAAATCAACAATACACACGATTGCATGCCTGCATTCAAACATCAACAGTACATACAAACACACTCCTAAACTAAAAAGCAAACACTACACAAAAGTACACCACAGCTTTTAAATGCCAACACTACATGCAAATATACCCGTACATTCACACATACACCATACAAAATCATGCCTTCATTCAAACACACAAACACTGCTCAGTGCTAAATCCAAACCTGCAAGGATGGACAATGGTACATCTCCAGCTAGTAAAGTATTGTTGGAGTTGTACGACACATGGGGATCTAACTTTTGGCAATCCTTGCAATTAGGGGGCCCAAAAAGAAATCTTACACCAGGGCGCTCTCTACTTTATTTCTGCCACTGTGTCTGTCTGTATCTGTCTGTCTTTTTATGTATCTATCATGGTCAGTAATATTCATACAACACACAATACATGATTAAAGCGAACATTTGTGGTTAACATTAATAACTGTATTTATTTTCCCGTGTCTGAAACCGAGTTCCTCTTATCACATTGAGGATAATATTAATTCTACATCTACAGTCATACTGCTTCTAATCCTTACTACCTGTATAGGTTCAGATTTTTTTTAATAACATTTAATTGTTATTTGTAGATAAGTAACACAGTCAGAAAATCTCTAGGGCATAAGAAATAATATTGGACTATCAAGTTCAATAGTAACTTTAAAATGGAAAGCTTCTACTTAGAAAATGAATTAGTTCTGATGAGTTGGTATTACATTGGGAATCTAAAGTAAAAAGCCTTGAAATCTTTACTGATTGCATTAATGGGAATTACTAGATGTGAGAAATATGAATGTCAAAGATTACAAAAATCACATTTATTTTTGTGAATTTATATAATTAAATTATGAAATTGAGTGTCGGATATACTGTTTCATTGTATGTCAGAATGGGCTTTCTCTAAGTGGTATAATATATCTTTTAATATTTTTTTAATACATTAGGTATTAACGTACATTTTGAGAAAAATACGTAAGCCAGACTAACAAATCTTAATTTACCGGGGAAAACATTATTATTTATTTATTTATTTTTAAATGCGGTATATAAGAATAGCGTAAAAAAACATTACAACAGCTATACAGTGAGCAGAAAACTTTAGTTCTAATAAGCCGCATTCATAAAAAACACAAATATTGTATGGTACCATAACTAATGCTAAGATGCATGGAGACATCCAGGAACACTATTTATATGTTTTCTGACATCCCACAGACCAGGGGGAAGAGGACATTTTAAGGGTAATTTGCCAGGCTTTTATCTGGTTTTGACACACAGAATGAAGGAAAAATTTGATGTTTGTTAATTCTTCTTTGTAAATGGAGTGTATGTGCTTTTTTGGGAGGGAGTCCATTTGTTGGGCCTTCCCCAAAATTGGAATGGTACAAATGGTGACTATTTTTTAACCCCTTCAGGACGAGGTCAATAGTACACGTTCTGATCAAAACAAAATGTAAACAAAAACTGGAATTTGCGCTATATGTCTGTTCAACCGTAATTCACCTCTTTCATATTAAATGCACCCACACTTAGTATATATCATTTTGTTCAGGAGAAACAGGGCTTTCATTTCATATAAAATATTTATATATGAAACATAATTTATTATGAATAAAATCAAAAAAACTGTGAGAAATTTTTAATTTTTTTAAAAATGTGTAGTTCCGCCTCACATTTTAGCTGTAAATGTCATAATACTGTTAGCTTTTACTGCAAAAAAGTACATATTTAGATTCAGCAAAGTCTCACAAGTACAACAGTAGCCCCAGTTAGCCCCATTAACAGTTTTTACAGTGTTTTGGTAAGTTAAAGGGTCAAATATAGCACATTCCATTTTTCTATTTTTTCACATTGAAATTTGCCAGATTAGTAATGTTACCTTTGAGACCCTGTGGTAGCCCAGGAATGAGATTTACCCCCATGATGGCATACCATTTGCAAAAGTAGACTACCCAAGGTATTGCAAGTGGGGTATGTCCAGTCTCTTGTAGTAGCCACTTAGTCACAAACACTGGACAAAGTTATCGTTCATTTTGTGTGAAAAAAGCAAAAAACTAATATTTGGCCAGTGTTTGTAACTAAGTGGCTACTAAAAATGACTGGACATACCCAGTTTGCAATACCTTGGGTTGTCTACTTTTGCAAATGGTATGTCATCATGGGGGTAATTCTTATTTCTGGGCTACCATATGGTCTCAACATAACCAATCTGGCAAATTTTAATGTGAAAAAAATGAAATGCAAGCCTTATATTTGACTCTCTAACTTTCCAAAACACCATAAAACCTGTACATGGGGGGTATTGTTTTACTCAGGAGACTTTGCTGAACACAAATATTTTTTTTTCAAAATGTTAATTTGTATTACAACAATAATATCGACAGTAAAAGTGCCGTTCATGTGTGAAAAAGGCAAAAAACTTTACTTTTACTAAAAATATAATTGTTGTAATACAAGTTACCATTTTGAAACACTAATATTTGTGTTCAGCAAAGTCTCCCGAGTAAAACAGTACCCCCATGTACAGGTTTTATGGTGTCTTGGAAAGTTAAAGGGTTAAATATCGTGCTTGCAATTCAAATTTTCTGCACTTTTTGCCTGGGTTGTCAGGCATGTCAATCAAATTTTAACTAATTAAATCACATAATTGAAGGGAAGGGGTTAATGATTCTCATCTATAATTTCTGATATTATATTCTCTTTCTTAAGATTTACACAAGAGCTAAAAACTAGACAAACCACAGGTTATTTTTGATTTATCACTTCTGCTTTTGAATCAACAGACGCATCCGCAAAGTAACATTGACCTGATGCTTCCGAGAAAAGTATCATGGAAAATAAGACATGCTTGACCACAAGAAATGTGGTCTTCTGCAAAAATCAGCTATTTCCGCTTTTAGCAACGTTTATCTTTTGTAAGCATATTTTGACCAATGTATGTCAAAGTTCATGATCAATACTGTATAAATATGCCATCCTTTTTATAATACACTTGAAGATTATGGAAAGCAAAGAGTGTGTGTCTGGTTAATATGCTTCCATAAAAATCTTCCCTGAATATTCAGCTGACAATCGAGGGTTGGAGAATAGTGACCAGAGGGACCGAGTCACCAGAGTAGCAGATTTACCTTTCAGCTTGGTGGCAGCGGTGGGATTGTAGCCAAAACCATTTTGGGTGAGTAGTAATTCCTTGTGTCTATCTTGACGCCCTGAATCTATGATCCCCATGGTTTTGTAAGTCTACATCATTTTAGGAAAGGTTATTTAGTATATGTGTTTTCTGTGACTCAGTTTTACATAAGGTCCCGTTAAATTAGTCTAGTAAGGGAACTAGACAGAGAGATATATGTATTTCTAGTAAGTGAACTAGAGAAGGTCTAATAAGAGAATTGGACAGATAAAGTCTATAAAGTGATATAGACAGAGAATTTAGTATATAAGTGAATATACTACGATAGTGTGCACAGAGTTTCAGGTTCACCTTGTCCACCCTCTAATTGTCATTAGTTAAGTCTGGTTCTGAGTGTGAATAAGTGTTTGAAAAATTTGTCCTAGAAATGGGAAATTACCATGCAAGAATATGAAGTAGTTAACTTTTCTTGTTCATATGTATTTTATGCTTAAATAAGGTTTATAATCATTAGTGCTGACTGTAAGGATATGAAATAGTTAAACTCTTTTTGCTTTATATGCTAGCCCTGAAAATATACTCACTGAGAATCTTGTTAAAGCACATTTGTAGTGTCCATGTCTTTATTGCAAACAATGACTCTCCATTAATTGGGTGATTGTCTATATTGGGGACACACTTTGGTAAGTTAGTAGTGTGTCCACCCTGAGTCAGCAGTATGGGAAATGTAAGTTCTGGTCCTGAGTGACCAATATATATACATATATATATATATATAATAGCAGAACTGTATATTAGAAAAGAACTGACTCGCAGGTTGTACCTGATAGACCTACTTAAATCTTTTGCTTTATTCTTTCTGTCGCATAGAAGTATAAGTTTATTACTCTGTTGTATTGTAAGTTATTTCACATGGGATCTGTGTGCCTGATATGATTGTTGCTTTAATACCATAAGCCCACTACACTTTCTATGAGAGTGGGATAGTGTAAACGTGTTGCATTGTTTGCATGATGAGCTCAGTATTTTTATAACTGAGACAAAAGTCACTTCATTAGTATTTGAAAGTTAATTCCCCAGATGGGATTAATTGTATAGAAACACCAATCAGCACATCTTCCCTGCCCTGTGTGTTTGTTGCAAAGGATCCATACCATTAATATGATTTTTGTTTGTAAATAAGGGAGCAACATTTACATTTTCAGCGGTCCAACACATGCTTCATTTTGTGCTGTAAGCTAACCTTTTTATTGCTACAGATGCTTTAAATGATTCAGCTACTGCATATGTTTTGTGTCTTCTATGTCTCACATTATATGTGTTCTGTTCTTTTAAATTGTGGTATATAGCCTGGATCAGAGATTATGGACAAAGGTTTCTACCTGTTTTACTAAGGCTCTTGGAGACTGACCGGTCTAAGGTTTGCCATGCCTTTTAAACATGGTATAGAATAATTTTTTTTTAAGTCTCTGAGAGTTCTGTAAGATTCTGGTGAAACCATGTCTGTGTAATCTGGTCCAGATGTTTGCTCAATTTCTATAAAATTTAAGTTGATGCAGTATCATCTCAGATTAGTTAATGGAAGTTTCATACAAATATATGAGTTATGAGTGCGCTATATAAATGGATCCTTTCTCTATATACAATACTATAGTAGATTAAAGTAATGAAGTTAATAAGAATTAAAAAAAAAAAAAAGTATACATAAGAATCCCTAAAATAAATCTAATATAAACTAAAATTGGTATACCTTACAATAATATGTTCTGAGTACAGCTGTTAACTGTTTATTCTGTGTAAATGGTGACTGTGATAATGTGTGAAGTGTGCAGCTTAACTGGAAAGTGGTTTAATTGATATGTTGCTGTGTTGTTTTAAATTATATGTGAATCAGTTTGTCTCAGTTTAGTGATACTGATACAAATGCCAGCCAAATAACCCAGCAAATAACGGTTTTATTAGCTGTTGAATACTAGCATTCTGGCCAAGAGTAGTTGGAGTAGTTCTATGAGCTCAGAGAGGCTCTGTGTTGTGTTCTGATATAGCTATATGGGAATGGAGATTTGGAGGTGTTAGTTTAAGACTGCTTTCATATTGTGTCTACCCGTGTTTCCTAGGAGGGACACAGAGTGTGTAGTTGCGTGCTCATGAATGTGTTTTCTATATTGGCATATCTGCTGGGTACCCGATACGTGTATCTACTACGTCTGTTTTGTGAGATGTCTGTTTTGTGAGATGACATGTAATATTACATTGGATGCTGAGTATGAGTTATATGGTTTGAAATGAATTGGTGTGTTATGTGTTTCATGTATTTTATTGTCCATTGTGTAGGAGTTTAACTAGCAGAGTGATTTGCATATCATTAACGCAAGCATTTAGTGTTTTTACAAAAGGTGAAATGCTGTCCAGCCGGCTAGAATGAAACAATTGTATGCTATCGCTCCTGGAGCAAGAAAAGCGCTTGTTACATCCCACGTGAAAGGGGCCCCGCAAACTTCTGCTGTTCAAATCGTGGATCCACGTTTCCATTTGCAAATTGATTAATCCTGAAAGTCATTCTTTTACTGATAAAAAGGATAAATGGACAAGATGTCTCTCCCTCATAAAGGAGTTCTAATAGGGGAGTATTGTCCAGCTCAGAGTTAACTCTACTTTTAAAGTATATTGCATTGTTTGTGTCAAAGTAAGATTCATCTAATATGCCTCATTGATTATGGGATAATAATAAAATTGTATTTTTAATAGGGATTAGACAAATTTCTGAAATTTATAAGTGAGGTAATTTTAATCTCCTAAACTACTGTATTATATTTGTATGGGTAAATTGAAAGCATTTTGCAGATCCAGAAGAGCATTAATAAATAATATAATAATCTCACTACGTGCCAATTTATGCAAAGAGGCTATCCAAAGTACGCACTAACGGGTTAAACTTGTTTTCTTGATAAGCGTATAACATTTAGTTTTGTGGTTAGACTTTTGATACTCAATTTGAAATATGTCCCAATTACATCCTTGCATGGCACCAGGTACAGGTAGCAATATGTGTTTTAAAAATTTGCAAGGTCTTAGTGTTTTCAATATATTATAATAATGGAAAAGTACCTAACCGCATGTCTGCATTACGCTCATGACACAGACTGTCAGTATTGCAAGCCCTATATGAAGGCTATGCTTTCATTGTTGATGTATATACCCCTAGACAACCTTGCTTTATATACAAAATGTAACTATCCATACAGCCTTTAAAAGCTTATTAATATTATATCTGTGTGGTACACAAAGAGGGGGCTGTGAGTTAGGTAATCCCATCCTGCATATGGAATAAAGGCAGAGGTAGAGGATTTAGTCAAAGGGTCTAACTTTTGTAGAGGTAACAACTTCAGCATTGGTGGAACACACTGTTCTAATTGTGGATAGCAGGGTCACTGGAAAAATGAGGGCCCAAACCCACCCCCACAGATTCCTCAATACCAACCATAGCTTCCAACCTATACCCACACCCAACAACCCCAGCCTAATACACAGATGGTTCATGTTTGTAATATTTTATATAGTTTTAGGTGTTAATCCAAGAGTATTGAATTATTCGGGATTATTAAAGTAATTAATTTTGAATATCAGATCAAGGTTCCAGTTTAGGAACAGAGTTTTATTGGGAATTATCCCCATATGTATATGTTAGTGTTTTAATATTCATCCTAACAAGGATTTCTATAGAGTGAGTGCTACTCTCATCCGTGCAAAGGCATTCCAAAGGGGTATTATGTAAAACTTTATAGAAGACAGATTGCATAAAATATAAGAGAAGTACATGTTACACAAATTAAGGGTTTAACCTTAATCTCTAATTTAAGTTTTAGCCTAGATAATTAATTAATGTTGTATTGATCCTTGTGTTTGTATGTTTGTAGAGACCGTCCTGGAGTGTTTGTGCCGCCTGATTTCTGGGACTACACACTAATCTCTCTGGCTGACCATGCAATAAGTATTTTGCAATTACATCTGTTTGGTCATTATCCATGCAGGCCGAAGAAACTGAGATACTTATTTATGAGGACATAAACTTTGCACGCAAGAACCTGGAAAGTCCTGAAGGTGCAGTGCTGTCTAATGCCGCTGGTTCTGTAATAACCCTTTCAACCATTGGGGTGTTGCACAGAGCTTTGTGGTGAAAATCCAGCAAACAAAAGAAGAACTAAGAACTATATGGAAGCTGACATTGTCTTGTTGTCAGCCATATTGCTACCCTTAGCCATTTTTATGGAACAAAATGTCTGGTGTCTAAACTGATTTCTTTATACTCTGTGAAATACTTATTCTATTTTTCTGGACTATGCTGAACTATTGAACTAATTTTATTTTCATTTTTGTAGAGTTAGCCAGAGAGAGAGGAAGTGTTAGCTGACCCAGGGATGGATGTACTATGTGTATCTTTGATGTATGTTGAGTGTGCCAAGGATGGATTCCCATGTTTTGAGGAACTGCGTGAGGATATGACTGGTTTTGACTGGACTTTTGGAATAGCGAAAAGGTTAAAAAATATAGGACGCAAGGTCCTGGTTGTGATTATTGTCAGAATTTCAAGCTAGATTATAATTTATCTCATGAATTAATATGTAAGAAGTGTTTCCCAATTCCTCCCAATACCCAAGCTATGTACTCACAGGTGCGGGTATTATAAGTCATAAGTGGTGTCAACTGTGAGGGGATGACATGTCTAACACGATCGCGGCCCCCACTCAGGTTTTCCCTAAATGTTCTTTTTCCTCAAATATGAGTTTTTGCCACTGGGTTTTTGCCTGGCCAAAGATCATCGGGTGGACTGGTAATCCTAGACCCGGGTCATTGGACGGGGGATAGGTATTATTCCCACTTTGACTATATGCGCCCACTTGCGTGGATGAAGGAGGAAAACAACTATTGGGAATAATATACTTTGCCCATATTTACCTAGGGCTTATGATACAGATGGCATGTTGGTTAGTCTGTTTAAAATTGGTTAACATGTCAGCTATTTGCAATAATTATTGTTATGGTTCTGGTCCTTGCTCTACTTGTTTATGCTATTTTTAAGACTATTGTATTCTGCATTTACAAACATACATGCAACACTGTTCCTGTAAAATCCCCAGCTTGCTATGATGAGTATCTCCAAATGTATACACATAACCGAAGCAATGGTGAACATGCTGATACAGATCTATAAGTTTGTGGTACTGGTCAGATGACTAGTCCTATGCTATGGGAATAGTGGCCGAAGACATAATGAAAGACCTGCAGGATTGACTAGCAAACCCGAATATACCATGGCAGATGGCTGGTTGTCTGACCAAGACTCCTTAAATGGGGTATGAGCAAGGTCTTGCTCAAAGAGGGGAATGAAGGGAAGGGGTTAATGATTCTCATCTATAATTTCTGATATTATATTCTCTTTCTTAAGATTTACACAAGAGCTAAAAACTAGACAAACCACAGGTTATTTTTGATTTATCACTTCTGCTTTTGAATCAACAGACGCATCCGCAAAGTAACGTTGACCTGATGCTTCCGAGAAAAGTATCATGGAAAATAAGACATGCTTGACCACAAGAAATGTGGTCTTCTGCAAAAATCAGCTATTTCCGCTTTTAGCAACGTTTATCTTTTGTAAGCATATTTTGACCAATGTATGTCAAAGTTCATGATCAATACTGTATAAATATGCCATCCTTTTTATAATACACTTGAAGATTATGGAAAGCAAAGAGTGTGTGTCTGGTTAATATGCTTCCATAAAAATCTTCCCTGAATATTCAGCTGACAATCGAGGTTGGAGAATAGTGACCAGAGGGACCGAGTCACCAGAGTAGCAGATTTACCTTTCAATAATTATGTTAAAATATTACTTAAATATACACATATATATGTATTTAAAGTCTACGTGTACACTTATGTAGTTATTTATGTAATGATATATATTTATGTGTGTATATATATATATATATATATATATATGCTGTTATTTGTATTTTATATATAGATATATATATAGAATGTCATTCTAAGTGTATTTTGTTACCAATATATATATATATATATATATATTTATATATATATATGCTGTTATTTGTATTTTATATATAGATATATATATAGAATGTCATTCTAAGTGTATTTTGTTACCAATATATATATATATATATATTTTTTTTATATATATATATATATATATATATATAAAAAAATCAAAATACAGTTAGAATGAAATTACATATGTATATATAATTTATTTACATTTTTAAAAAAATATTTTATTTATTTATTTTATTTTATTTATTTATTATTGTAACTATACGTGTATGTATAAATATAAAATATATATATGTATTATATATATAATATATATATCATATATATGTAACGTCATTCTAAGTGTATTTTAATACTAATATATGCACTTATATTAATATTAAAATACATTACGTATCACTTTACATATATATAAGATGTATATATATTATATTAATAATATATATATTTTATATATATCTATATATATAAATACATTTTATTTATTTTAAAACATGTCTAATGATTTTATTTTAAACTTCCCACCAGCGGGGTACTGTCTGACATTTCATACAGTCCCCCTGCTGGCAGATCCACAGCCAGCTATAGGGGGCCACCTCTTTGAGAGCAATCACATGGCCCCCGGGGGCCTTATTTGCCGTGGCAGGGCTGCCTGGGCTGTCAGGCAGTCCTCCTGAAGAGGATCGCGGCGGAGGTAAGTAAATC